GGCTATCGCCTCGGGCAACCCTTACGCTTCTTTCGTGCTCTCCAAACTTCCCGCGTGCTCCATAACTCGATAGTGCACGCTAAAGCATGAACCAATTGTTAATTAATGGTCGTTGTCGTTTACCGTGAGTCTACAGTTTACCGTGTTGGAATTAAAGTGTTTGTTTGGATTTCCCCTTTCGCTTCAGAACAGTTACAATTTGTCGATGTTTATGTCTGAAACTAGATTTTCTGCCGTTTTACGGCTAATGGTTAACCCCATTGGGATCCTGATGGTAGAGTGCGGCTTGCTAATCATCTGAACAGCACCTGGGGTTGTTTTTAGTTAGTTCGTTTGTTTGTATTAACGCATGTTTGCTTGTTTATAAAGTTTTTTAGAGTTTTATTTTATAAATTGGTGATGTTTTTACATTTTGCGATAACAGGTTTTTGAAGTTTGAGTTGCCTAATTTTCTGATGGGAATTAAGTTTTTGCGTCAGATGGAACACAATCCAGAAAAAAAAAAAACACTTCACTTTTCGATACACACAACAAGAGACATTTGTAAAATGAATGGGTTCTCCCTTCTCCCGCTGACTTTTAGTTTTGTGTTTCAGCGTCCTAGAACACCATCTTTAGAAGAAATATTTGAAAAAATCAAGGAGGCTGTCCACAAGAATGGGATCCGGACAACAGAGTTCTTCAGAGACCATGATAAGTTGCGAAGCGGCGAGATCACTGAAAGTCAGGCAAGGAATTTAATGGTGTATTTTGATAGCCAGATAAATTGGTTTTTGCTGACTGAGTTGATAAATAAATTGCCACCGTAAAGATCTTATAAAGCTGACGTTTCGAGCGTATAACGCTTCATCTTTCACTCTGACGCAGTGGAGCGAAACCTCCACAACGAATTTGTTCTACTGTTAGGAAACGAATTGAATTAAGAGGGAGGGGGCAAGTTGTTTTTTTTTTTTGAAGAGGCGAACTAGTAACGGTGGGGGAAACCCCGCCAGACCATCCGGTCAACACATGTGTGGAACCAAACACTGTTATCCCACGTGTAGCCGGAACCTCCCCCCGATGAGAAACGGAAGGGAGGGAATGTCCCCTCCCGTTTCTCCTTGGGGGGGGGGAGGGTACGACTACACGTGGGCTAAACACTGTAGGTTAATGTTTTCTTGTAATAGTTCTCTACCATCACTATCCTTCTCATTCCAAAGAACGACATACGTTGCCTTAAATTTACCCGGAAACTTTTTACTTTTTTTGAAAAAAATTCTGATGACTTTTTACTAAGTTGATCCTAACTGCGCCTAAATATTGATTCTTCTTACCTTTCAATAGTTTATTTGTGGCTTGAGTCTTTGTTGTGGGACACAGGCCCACCTGTCCCGTGACGAGATACAGAAAGTAGTGGAGGTGTACCGCCAGCCTAGTGGGCGTGTCCGATACAAGGAATTCTGTGATATCATGGAGAATGGTTAGTAATCAAGATAACTTAAATTTGTACGATGTACCATAAACTCAGATTAATGGGGGAAAAAAACAAATGCGTTACCTTGCCCCACTATTTTATGACTAATCAAGCCTTTGGTCACAGCATTTTGATTCTTTTTTATGTAATCTGAGTGTGGTCTGATGTGAGGACAGTTTGCTTGCCCTACACGACAGATCTATTATAATTGTTACTCTCTTTAAATCTCTTTTACAGCCTTTACTGTCCCGGATTTAGAAAAGAAGCCAACAGCGGATGTTTACCGACCACCAATGGGTGCGCTGTCTAAGGTATCGATTAATAGCAGAGGGTGCAGCGTACAAAGCGCGCGCAGCCAAGCCCCTTACCTAGCACATTGATCTTTGACACGTAAAACACATCACTGTCAGAGCAGGTTTCAGTTGAGTGTCGAAAATAACTTCCGGTAAAATACTTGCTGCACTTTGCTCTGTGATTGGTCCATAAAAACTCACTTCACTATCAGATTCAAAGCCAATCAGATTCAAACTAAAACCAATCGCAACTTATTCGTTTGCGTTTTCCCGCGCTATAAATAACCGAGTTTGCCTGTGTTAAATCTGAGTCTTGATTGGTTCCTCGTGTTATTTTTCTTCACTCTGATTGGCCGTTGTGATAACTTTGGTATTTCTTTCACGACCCTTAATAGAAAAGCGTTCTTAAAGTCCAGAATCGGAGGGTCGTTTACACTTAAAGAGATGATGACTGAGAGAATGAGCGTTCGGAATCTCTAGCTTCAGTGATAGGAAAAGCTCCCGTCTCGTAGTCTGTTTTTGTTACGGTTTCTAAACATACATTTTTGTTGTACGTTGTGAAGGCTCCTAATCTGCTATCTGCTCAAGAAGAGGACAGAGTCAACGAAATACTCAAGGAAATTGCTGAAACAGTGAGGAAGCGAAGATTGATGGTGTATCCCTATTTCAAAGATTTTGACAGGGTAAATATAGTCTGCAGTGCAGGCGTTCTTGTGGAGTTTGGGCGAAAATTAGGACTTTGGGGCTTTCTGTTTTATTTTCCAGACCGCGCGTAAAATGGAGCGAGGCGAACAATTAGAAGGTGGGGGGAGGGGGAGAGGTTTTTCGCCTCGCTCATTTTACGCTCGATCTGGAAAATAAAACAGAAAGCCCAAAGTCCTAATTTTCGCCCAAACTCCACAAAAACGCCTGCTCTGCAGGCTAGGGTAAATAAATCTTTATTGTTGACAGCTCCTCTCTTCATCATCTCTATGCACTCGTGCAGTCATCTTTATTAGCACTGTAGCCCTGTGAGTACAAGAGGAAATAGGAACTTAAAGAGAACCACGACGTCGACGACAATTGAAAAGTGGCGAAATGAAACTTTTGATCAGCAGAAAAATAGCTCTGCGAGTGCGTTAGAAAACCAGTATGCACATTTAATTGCCTTATAAAGCAAAACAATAGCATGAAATCGCAACATTTCTCCGTAGAAGGAGAACAGGAACTTCATGTTGTTGACGTTTCCTCTTCAACCCTAACGCTGCATCAAAACGGTGGAAACGCTAAAGAGAAACCAAAGTTTATTTGTTGATCGAAGCACCGCCGTCGTGTTAAAAAAAATTGGGCTCTGTCTTTCTAGAACGCTTCCCCTTGATAATGGTATGGCCGCTCTCGGTGTGGGTTTTTATTTTTTGATTTGTTCTAAAAGTCTACACGAGATCTTTGTATCAACAAGCCATACCGAGGTTGCATTCAACAACTTATACAGGACCATCGTTTTCACATGTTGTTTGTTTCCTTTTATCTACAGAGTAAAGGCTATACTCGTGGAGTCACAAAACCTCAGTTCGCTAGAATGCTTCATTTCTTATCCATTACCGTCCGGCCGCAAGATCTAGCCGTAAGTACTTTTCAATTTTTCGTCATATCATTTTCCTTTTACTTTGATTTCTTTTGTTGTTGTTGGCTTGATTGATTCTTTCCCCTGCTTCCGTTCTGATTTAGTAATACAGTAACGTTCACCTACAGAATCTCGCTGCAAAATGACATTGCGTTTCCCAACCCTCCCCTCCCACCGGTCCTCACTTTCGTTTGCGAGTGCCACCCCTCCCTCATTTATCTTAACCCTTTGTCAGCTACGAGTGATTAGCATCTAATTTCTCCCTACATTATCATCTCCCCCCGCCCCTGAATCGCACAATAAGGTGACAAGAATAAAGGAAATGATCACCAACTAAACAAGCTCTTGATTGTTCAACAAACTCTCCCTGCCCTAGAAATGTATGGAGAACAGTATGGAAAATATGTATAGAGAACAGTATGGAAAATATGTATACAGATGTTAGGGTGTAAAAACTTAATTTAAACCTAACCGATAGAGGAATTTTCAGACTAGCGATAAATAACTAAATGCTGAGTGAATAGGATAAAGTTCAAAGCCAAATTTTAAAACGAATGGCTGTTTTTAGAAAGTAAGCAACAATGTCCTCCCTATCTACAGCTTTTGTGCAAGAAATTTGAATACCCCGTCGGAGGGGACATCAACTATTCAGCTTTCATTCAATCGATCGATTCTGGTAAGTAAACGAAATATCCTTTTAATTTGGATGTGTCAACAAAGTTGAAATGGTAAATTGGCCACCGTAACGATTACAAAAGCTGACGTTTCAAGCGTTAGCCCTTCGTTTTACTCGTAAAACTTAATCAGCCGGACATGTTCAACGTGTATTCAGGACTCCTGTTCGAATGTTCGACAACCGAAAGTATGATGCTTTTCAACTGGAAGAGTCTACCTGCTCGGCGCTGTTTGGTTGACTCAAGTTGGGCACGAGTCCTCCTGTATATTAATGGCTGGGTCTAAAAAATGGAAGACGGATTCTCAATGTGCCTTTAAATTTTCTTTCTCAGAATACACTGGCACGGCAACCACCATTTCAGACTTTGCACAAAAAGACAAGTAAGTTGAAGGGTTCTTTGGCCTAGAGTCCTATCCAGCTGGTTAAGTTCTGACTGTTTGGACCACTTAAGTTGTAAGAATTAGCTTTTCAAAGTTCTATAATTCTGTCCTGTTTATCTTCCTGTAGAACTCCAGCTGAGAGCGGAGAACCTCGACCTTTAGATTTGAGCAAAGTTGACAGACAGGAGTTAATTGATCGCATTAAACACTACGTGCTTGTCAACAGACTAAGGGTGAGTTGAGTGCAAAATCTGCCAGCTCCCTTGATATTTAGAGTTCTTATATTTCAGCTTGTTTATAACTCTTTGCCTGTGAATAAGGGACTTTTCATACTGGCTGTTATATTTCTTGAATACTCTTTACTTTTCTTCCTTCTGTGGATTTCCGTGGGGAGAATAGAAAGCGATGGGATTGGTCCAGAAAATACCCGGAAAAGCTCGCCTATGCACCGAATGCAAATATGGCGTCCAATTTGAGTTGCCATTGTTCTAGACTCACTAGCCTCGTCTTCGCGTTGAAACACAAAAGGATTATTACCTGTGTGAGAGGCTAGTAAGTCCAGAAAAATAGTAACTCAAATTGGACGCCATATTTGCATTCGGTGTACACTCAAGGGGAAAAAATTCGTCAACAAGGGATCGGCTCTTTAAACAACACCAAAAATTAACCAACAAAGAAAAACAGAAAAGTAGGCTTGGACGAAACAAATATGGCTCGTAGCTCTTTGTAACAGGGAGCACGCAGCATTTTGGGTTTAATACTTTTCTATCTATAGCTAAAAGACGCTAAGTTATTGTGTAGGATTTCTTCTCGAGGTTAACCTGCGCACGTGCCGAAGTAATTGAAGATATATCTCGGTACCTCAGGCGACAATTGATGATTTGTCTCATATATTGATGTTTTATTAGGTGGAAGAGTTTTTTCAAGACTTTGATCCTCTGCGTCACGGCTCGATCAGCAGGCCTCAGTTCAGACGTTGTGTAAGTTTAATGGGTCAACCCAACCTGACAGATGAACAGTTTGAAGTCCTGGCCCAATACTACAAAGATCCTAAGTTGCCTGGCAACGTGATGTGGACAGGATTCCTCACAGACACAGAAATGGGTGAGTATTGGATAGAGCCCAGCCTTCGCTCGTTGACCCTTGGTCATTCTTGCGGCACGTATAGTATGTTGGGAAAGTTCGAAGATCTCATGCTTTTTTTTTTTTTTTTTGCACCTCAGCGGCCTCAAAACGTTGTTTTATCGCTCGATTTAAACCCCTAGAATTTTCCTCTTTTACTTCAGCGGACATGTACGTGTCCTTTAGGATAAACAATGCCACTAAAATATTTTGTGTATTATTCTGATTCTCTTATACTCTTTCTGTTTCATCCCCATCCCCCCTCCCCCCTCCTTCAACCATGTAGTCTTTACTAGGCGTGGACTGGAGAAGACTCCCACATACACAGTGCCCGCTATGGAGACATTTCAGATGAGTAGGCCTGGGGCTGGCTCCGAACAGCTTGAACAAGACGAAGAGGTGCTCCTGGAGCGAATCAAGCTGCGCATGCGTCGAAAACTGACCGAGCAACGAATTTTGTCCAAGCCGTGCTTTCAAGATTTTGACAAGTGAGTTTAATGTTCCACCCTCGTCTCACTTAAGTATACTAAACATTTTTTTTCTTTTAATTAATTAGACTTGAAAACATGAATTTAAGAGACTAAAGTTACGCGATCAAAATCTGTCAAATTTTTTCAAAATGTAAAAGTAATTTTCCCAAAAATTCATAGACTTTTAAATTTTTATACTGCCCGGTTGTTAATCAGCGTCAAGTTTATTATTAACAATTATTTACCGAAGTGGAGCTGAATAGTGATGGATACTTCCTAAGCAGGGAAATGGCGAGGTAAATGCCACCACTTTCACCTACGCGAAGAATTTCGAGGGGGGTTAGTTGTCGCTAAGAGAGTATAACCGGGAAACTTTAGATAATCATCTGTCAATGAGGGGAGATCGTGTTACAGAGCCTCATCGTGACTCAACCAAAATTTTTCGACCCCCTCTCCCCAGGCGATAAAAATGACTTTTCTCCTACTCAGTCGTTTTTAGTGCACTCTATCTTGATGTGTGAATTTAAAGCAACACATGAAGTCTTCTCAAGGCAAATTATTTGTTTCTCTTTTGTGATAGGCATAACAACGGTCACGTGACAAAGATCCAAGCCAGTCAGTGTCTACACACGCTAGGCCTGACGGATGATCCTGAAGAAATCAAGGTAACCAAAAGTCCAAGCCTTTTTTCCTGCTCTAACCGCAAATTTGCCTTTAGGTGTGATTTCAATTTACAACGGTGGGAATAGCGGAGCTCGCAGCGCGCGCAGCGAAGCTCAAAACTTATCACAAATGGTATTACGATCCGTTCTCTGGAGTGGAGCGGTCGTGGGTCGAGTCATATTCCGAATGAATATGTTGTGCTCTGAAAGAAGACACTCCGCTGCCACAGTGCCTCGTTACTCTCAGCAGTAGAAAACCATGAGCACTAGAAATTTTTTATTCGGCGACTCGACAAGAAGTGGGGAAAGCAACCCATGTTATCTCATCTTGTAGGGGGGGGGGGATTTTCAGAATTATTCACCGATATTTATTTCTTGTTGGCATGATAAAAAGATACATTTTTTTAATTTTGCAATTTTTTTTAATCGGTTGTAGGTTCTTCAGAACCGATACTCAGATGACATTGGATTCAACTATATTCAATTCTTGGATGATCTTCAGGTAAAAAAGAGTTTGGTTGAGGAAGAGAGCGTTGCGTGACAAGACCAAAGCGGAAAAAAGGAGGAAAAACTTAAACTGATATCGTGTTTGGGCGACGAGTTATTTATTTTTTTTTTTTGCCTGTTTTCTTTGTATTTTAGAATTACTCTCGTCAGGCAACCAAGACGAATTGATAATTGTGTGCCAAGTGTGAAAGCACTGATATGTTATTCACGGACGAGCTCGCTATATTTAAAGTTACAGTCCTTAAATGTGTTTGCATGTCTTCTCTCTGATCTTTTGTACCTGGTGATTGTTTCCTTTCTTCTCATTACCTAGATGTTTTATTTAGTGGTTTAACTGTAAGGAGAAATTAGATGCTAGTCACGTTAAAGGGTTCAAAGGTTAAATCGCTTCCATGCTTGATCTTCATTGTCCCTTTTTAGTGCATTAGTACCGCTCCGTATTTTACCTTTTCCAAACTATGTATTATTGTAAATTTTTTTTCTTCCTTTATTGGTTATAGTTCCAAAAACGACATACAATCGCCATTTATTTCTTTACAGCCTTCAGAAAAACCAGAGTTGAAATACTTGCAGAGACTAGAAGAACTAAAACTGACCAACCAGAAAAATTTGCCCGACTTGGGCGACGACAACATCGAGAAAATCATGTATAAAATTAAATGCCGTGTGATGAAAGAACGAATGAGACTGTCTGAGTTCTGCAAAGATTATGACAAGCTGCGCACTGGAAGAATACTCAAGACTGTATTTCCCAGAGCTATGGATCTGGCTTCACTTAAACTCACCAAGGTGGAGGTGGAACAGCTTATGAACAGGTACCGTGTAGAACCTTTTCTTACTCAAATTTTACTGTAAATCCTCGAAGTAGCACTTCCCCTTTAGTAGTAAGCCAAACATTTTCACCAGCGCTTACCTCATCTTCCTCGAATTGTAAAGTAAAGTCTGTTTACGAGCCTAGTGGCCCATTAGGCCGGTGCTTAACTCCGGTTTCTGTAGCATGAAGCGACTAGGAGTATTTCTACTCCCCCCTGGATGGGATGCTAGTCCATCGCAGGGTTACCCCCAGCATTAAATTGCCGGTACCCATTTATACACCTGGGTGAAGAGAGGCACTGTGAGAGTAAAGTGTCTTGCCTAAGAACACAACACAATGTCCCGGCCGGGGCTCGAACCCGGACCACTCGATCCGGAGTCGAGCGCACTAACCATGAGGCCACCGCGCCTCCACANTAACTGAGAGAATATTGACCGGCAATAGAGCATTTTGATTGGTTGATTTTAGTTATTGGCCCTCTGACTGCCCGAGTCGTGTAATAAACCCGCTTATTCGACTGTTGTGGTATCGAGAACAACGTCATCTATGCGTCTGTCCTCCAGTAGATTATAAGCAAGAACCAATCAAAAGACGTGTATCATTTAGATTATAAGCAAGAACCAATCAAAAGACGTGTATCATTTAGCTAAGCATATAAAAGATCGTGGACAGGGATTTACCGGAAGTACTTTTTCCCTGTATAGATACACGGCTGTTGGATATCCAGATTATGTGCAATACACAGCATTTGTGGAAGAAATCGAGTCTATCTTCACGTTGAGAGGTTTGTAGTATAGTCTTGTAGTTGGTCTTGTAACGTTTTTTATCAAGATGAAATTAATTGGCCAACATATGATTTTTGTGTTTGAATGGTAATTCTAAGAAACTGCAGAAGTTAATTAAAGCCTGTGAAAAGATTTGGACCAACAGAAATATTTCGTTTTGGAAGCAAATATGATTTGGGTGGCTAAACGTAGGAAATAGTTTTTGGAGATCTGGCACGGGATTGAGAAATAAGGGTTTATGCATCTTGAAAATTAAGCCAACATTTTTCAAGGATACTTTCCTAATACGAGTAAATCTTTCCATCCTCGGCCTTTTTCTTGGTACATTCTGATATCTCTTGTGTTCGTCGTTCATAGAAAAAAATTTATTTTTTTAGCTTCATGCTTTCGTGAAGAAGAAGATTTTCTACCATCCTTGTAACCTCCAATGTTCGTTCTATGGACGCTTTAATTTAGCAATCCCTTGTCGCGCTGCCAAAATTTTAGGGTCACTTTTAAACCTCTAACTTTTACCTCCATTCTCCGCAGACCTGGAGAAAGCACCCGAGGTTGTTCCGATTCCGTTCCAACCTCAGCCCGAAAACGAATACTGCAAACTGTCATCAGAGGAAGAGCAGGCTTTGGAACTAGTCATGCACCGATTGGCAGACCGCGTGCGCATACGACGCATTCAAATTTTCCCGCTCTTTGAGGATTACGACCGCGTACACAACGGCACCGTCTCTCGTTCCCAGTTCCATCGCGTTTTGAGCGAGCTAGACCTCGGAAGCTTGGTTAGTATGCGGGAGTTTTTGGCCATAAAGAAAAAGTTCGACGTCGTGTTGGGATACAAGCACGATTTTAACTACATCGGCTTCTGCGATATGATCAACGACTTCGCTAATTTCGAATACGGAAAACCATGAACTCAACAGGATTTGCTTCAAGCGAATTGTTATTTGCATTGTTGTTTGCAATGTTATTTGCATAGAATGAACAGGGAGATTTTATCTTCTTTTTCTAACAATGTGTTGCTTAGATTTCGGAGTGTACATAAAATGCATTTTATTCATAAAATGTTTTGAAAATGAATTCACGATGTTAACTTGGTACTCCTTACTTTAGCCCAAAGATACTTTCCATAAAAATTAAAATAACTGTACTTTTATTTGTGATTCAGTCTGATTCAAATAAAATGACGTTTAATTAAAATGCTTTCAGTTTTGATCCTTTACCTTTATCTTTTTTACCCCTTAGATCTCACTATCAATTCTCTCAACCATCTTCCATACATTTCTTACAATTTGGGCTATGAGAATTTGGCTTTAAATCAAACTATAATCAAACCCATTTTTCTTCACTTTCTTCCACTATATGCACGATAATGCATTGAAATTCTAGTCACTCGTGGAAATGAAAGGGTTTACCTTTGACCTGAAAGAGTGACTGGCATCCAATTGCTCCTCACATTTTCACTCTTCAAGCAAACATTAAAGTCGTAAAATTAAAGAAAATGATCACCAACCAAAGAAGCTCTTGATTGTTAAACAAATTCTCCTTGTCAGCGCCTGAGGAAATGTTTAGAGAACAGTATGGAGAATATGCATATGAATATGATGTTAGGGTGAAAGGTGGTTAAGATTTTCTCTGTACTTTATTTTTTTAATACGTACAAATTTTCTTATTTACATTTAATGTTTTTTTTTTTTTTACTTTAACTAAGGTAAATTTTTTGCTGACTTCATATCAGTTACAGCTTGTTCTTCGAGAAACGATCATTTTTCTCTGTTTAAAATTGCAATAGAGTGTCATCTTTACTAGATTGCACCCATGGAAACTTGTTAAACACCACTTTTCAGTGATTACAGACGGTACATTTATTATTTACAATTGAATGCTTAACTAGAGATTAGACGAATAAAACAACGAGTAATAACTTTGTAAAATACTAAACTGCAAATAAAACAGAATATTTATTCTTTGCTGATTTTGAATACTTAAGTCTGATACTCCTTCCTTAGGTTTCAACCAAACTTATAAATTCAATTTCTTGAAACCATATTTCTTCTTGGAATTCTCGAAGAGAAGCCCGCCCGTATGCCGAACTTTAATTTCAAACAGAACATTATCGATAAGTATACACAAGGTTTGTGGTCAGCGGTAGCTGATCAAGAATAGACTTCATTTACAGCGGTCGAACTGTCTAAAATAACCAAAGTCAACTAAATTTTTTTGAAGAATTTTAAACTATACTTATCAACATGCCACAGCGCAAAATGTTGCAATAATGTTCCATCAACGGCAGTGTTATTTGATTACAAAAACTTCAAATTGTGTGGTTCCAATGCACTCAGCACCAATGAAATCTGGGCATGGACAGCGTGGGATATGTGACTGGCCGATGGAACGCGGACCCAGGTCTCTCTAAAGCGTAGTGAAGTCGGTTGTCTTCCGGTCGAAGATGTGTAAACTTTGCCATACTTTCTTGCACAACTGAAGAAAAAATTGATATCTATTTAAGCTACGACGAATTAGTGCTTAAATTGTCGGCTTGACCTTCTAAACAAATATCGTGAAATGCCACTTCAGATAAACAGCTTTCACTTGTCTGCTTGATACGGTATTGATAATTATGAGGAGAAATTCTGTCTTGGTCCATCATGGGAGCTAAAGGGCTAAGTAATAAAAATTCTGAGCATAGTGAGTGAATTAACTCCTTACATGCATTCACAGTTTAAAAAATCCTTTCGAACGTTTCATTTCTTTTCCCTTAAAGACGTTACGAAAGTCAAAAGGTGGCATCATTTACCTGATTGCGGCCAATTCTCAATCTGATATTGACACCACGTGACTACTGCTTCAGCCATGTGGTGCAAAGTAACTTTCTGTGGATCGCTGGGAAATGTGAGCCCTAAAACAAAGTAGAAAGGGTTTCAAAATTTTAGTGCGTGGTCGTTCTGTTAATTTTACTAATGGAAGTGAAACAATGGGGAGAAGTGAAAGTTCGGGTCAGCCGAAATGTTTTTCTTCAATGCCTTGGCTTTTTTGACAACACCTTGCTGTGTTGTCTCCCCAGTTCCTCTCAGATCAAAGTTTGTGCCCAGTGGCCCACGTTCTAGTTTGGACGCGAGCTAGAAACAAAAACTGGATCCAATAAACGTAATCGAGTCTCGCTGATAAGCGTCTCCTAAAGAAGTATATTGAAAAGGCTGTGGTCCTTTAGCTCGACTTGATCTGCTCGATCCAGTCTTAAAACATGTATATCGACAGTAAAGAAACCTTCGTTCAACAATTAAAAATCCCAAAGCAATACTTAATATATCTCATCTTATAATTACCTGTCTGCGTCCTTTGCCACTGTTCTGACTTTTCTCTTCTTCCCACCAACTCATCGGCGACAGCGAAAACTTTCGGAGCTACAATGTTACTTCCCCAAAAATTCCAGAACTCTCTTATGACTGATCCAAATACTCCTCCTGTCGGATAGGAAAGTAAGGGGTTATCAGCTTGTTGAAAAGACTTTGATTACAAAAACTCTGCGGAAGGTGTTCAAGACGATTACGTAATAACTTTTGTTGTAGTCGCATAGCGTAAGTGACCTGATGAAATTCTTAGTCGAATACTCTTTTCCGCAATTAGTAGGCATTGTACAGTATTAAAGTTCAGTTGCAGAGTGTTCTTAAAGAGAACCGTTCCGAAGGATCTCGAGATAAGTTTATGTTTAGAGTAGTTCCGAAAGATCTCGATATTAGATTAGTTTTATTTATTTTTTTTTTTCGGTGTTTTGTCCGACCATGGCTAAAAAGCAGGCCCAATCCGTGTTGTTACTATTGTTTTGAGTCCCAGATCCTTCTAGTGCGACCAAAACTCCGTGGATGGTTACCGGGAGAGGTCTGAGCACGACACCATTTTAAAGTAAGGAAGGACAAAGGAGAAAGAGAAAAAAGAAGTTTGTAAAAAGAAGGAATTGCTCAGCAAAAATAAGTGTCAGCAAAAATAGGACGAACAATAAAGCATTTTTACACAAATAATTTACTGTAGTTTTGATAAAGAGAAGTTATATACACCACAATTTTACATTTCCTTTAACTAGAAACATCTTCAGGATATTTTTTCTTTAGTATTACGCAAAATAGTCTTAGCTCACCTGACAGCATGCAGTCCGTGCTGACATACTCCTGCGCACTGCATTTTTCACCCGTGAGCCTTTGCGTCATGTCGCGGAACTTCATTGTGAGCAGCGGATCTTGTAGCCTTGTGATTATCTCTCGCTTGCACAGTTCGAAGTGCATGTCGTAGCTCTGTAAACTGCTGGTGATCTTTTCTCGAAGCATTTTGTACAATGAGCTGACGCTCTTGTATTGAAAGACCTTCAGGAGAGTTTGCACTTGCGTGTTGATGATCATGTTTACTATGGCCTCGGTCACCATCTGTGCCTGGTCAGCGGGAAAATCATGGATAACCATCTGCCACTGAGGACGAGCGAGATCACGTGTCAGTAGAGAGAATGAGGCATTCTAACAAATGAGTCGAGAGGGCATGAGGAGAGTTTTTGCGGACACTCGACCAAAATATTATTTTCACCTACAATGAGTGGCAAAAGCCTTGGCACTTTTTAATTTTTTTTTTTTTTGGGGGGGGGGGGACGGGGGGAAGACTTTCGAGTAACTTTTTTGAGATAAACTAAAAGATTTCTGTTTGTTGCAAATTAAAGAAAGAATTGTCCACCTACCACAACGACCAACTACTTTTTCCAATCATTGTATTCGTTAGGCTAATTTTGAACTTTCTTGCTCTAATTCTTGGCAAGTGAAGAAATCGATTTTGAACTCCTGATTTCTCAATTCACTCCTGATAACATAAAAACAGCATCTAAAAGATAGTTTTTAAAATTACCCTGGGCGAAAAGAAGTCTTCATCTGGCGTCGAACAAAGGCGAGCCAAAGTCTTCATATGGTGAATTTGTCCTTCCTTCGTTCCTTGCCGATATAACGTTGCCATAACTACAGGCCATCCCATTACGCTTCGCGATATCATACGGGTCTCCAGCAAGTCAAATCCGGGAATGACATCCTGAAATGTCTGACAGAGTAAGTAAAGTTTCCCGCATGTGGTAATGTTCGTTTGATCGTGTGACAGAGCTCTGTGAAAGAGTGTTTCTGTCTCTGGTACAGTCACACAGATATACAGATCCTCTTCTTCAACTGAGTAACCTCTCAATAAGCCAGACGAGAGCGAAGAGGACAACTGCGCGATCTCGGATTGCCTTGTAAGTAAATTTTCCGCAATTTCAGCGTGTTGCCTCTTTCTAGACTTGTACTTCTTTCCATCTGAAGATGTCGAAGCGTTCTAAGGAGAAATAGTAATATTTTAGATTTTTCCTTGCTTGGCTTTAGATCTTTAAACTGTAAGCTTAGGTATGCTGCATTTTCAAACAAAGCATAACTCGTCTATATTCCATAAAAGGGACGATTTGTACCCCTGAAGAAAAATTTTCCGAAATAGATTCAATAGATTTAAAAAGGAGGAAACATATCAGCTAAGCTAGTTCATAGAGTGCTCAGTGCTTTCTTAAGAGCATGTGGCTGCTCACGTGTTACCCACTCAGACACGTGACTGAAAGTAACTGATACATCTTTCACATTACAACCCCAAAAGGCTTCTTCAAAGTAAATGATTTTTTCACGTGTCTCTCTCACTTGCGTACTATGTTTAATTTCCTAACGTGACTCTCTTTATTAGCGCAAGAGATAAAAATTTACCTCTTGTTTCTCTGTCTTGTCTTCTGTGTTCTCCACTTGCTCGGTGTTACCTTTCTGGCTGCTGCTAGCTTTATTATTTGAATTTCTGTCTGGAGTTGCTCTTCTTGCTTGAGGCCTGAAGTGATCATGGGAGCCCTTGGACTCAAAATAGATTCCATCCTCTTGATGGACCCAAAAATGGGTCACTGGATAACCGTTGTTGCCTGAAAAGAAAAGAAAAAGGTAAGTTGTGCGCTCGAGCTGAGTGGTACTGTTAGAGCTTATCTCGGCTTTTTTAGAGTATATAAATCTTCTTTCCCAATAACACAGCATAATGACAAAGCCAAGTCTTGAACACAGACCTCTCGAAGGAGAACGACACGAAAATTAACAAATGGTTAACACCACAGTGCACACTCGAACGACTCTAGCTTCTTTCGCGCTTTGCAAACTTCCACGTGCATCCATAACTCAACAGTGTACGTTGTGGTTTTTACTATTTGTTTTATAACATATGAAATAAAATTCTTGCTAAACATTTGCTCTCTGCCGGGAAACATTTGCTCACGTCAGCAGCGTATACCCATGGGCAAATAGTAGACACTGAATTCACCAATCACAGCGCGCGCTTTACGTGAATTATGTTATACAAATCGTTATTTCTCACCTGTACACTTTCTATGGACTAGAGTCCCTGTGCACGTGGCATTTGGACAGTTCTGGCCCATCTGTCTTTCCCGAACTGCAATAAGAGGGTAAAGTGGACTAAGCTTCGTGTGCAACAGAGTAACAGATAGATAGATGGAGAACAGACCATATGAGTTCCAGCTAGAGAGGAAGACAAGCACACATAAACAAACAGGCAGACCGGCAGGCTAACGAAGACTCGTTGCCATGTTCCCACCAATCACGTAGCTCCTTTTTCTCCCTTTAAAAGCACACACAACCCACAATTCCCCTATTCGCTCCGACGAAGGGCTAACGCTCGAAACGTCAGCTTTTATAATCGTAACAGTGGCCAATTTACCGTTTCAAATTTTTTGATATATTCATATTATAACGAAGACAAAGATAGACAGACCCTAGATAGACAGGGAAACCGAAAGACCAACAGACGAACGAACAGGATACGTGACAGCAAGCAAGCATACAGGAATAATTTGGATATATCAACAAAGTTGAAATGGTAAATTGACCACCGTAACGATTACGAAAGCTGACGTTTCGAGCGTTAGCCCTTCGTCAAAGCATACAGGAACACTGGGAGTGGGGAGATAGCCAGACAGACCCCAGGTAAAAAGACAGACAGGTGGCACTAAACTACAAGCACACAGACAAAAGCAGACAAAAAGTACAGACAGGCAAGATAATCAAGCAGTTTGCTTACCTTTATCAGATATAGCAGGTCTGACGACAATTTTAAGCCCATTGGGAAGTGTGCAGTCATTACTACACAGCAGTACTCCAACACACGTCTTCTTGAGAACAAACTTGTTGTGGTTGTTGGTATATTTCATGGCCCACCCAGAAATATGTGCTTGAGCCTCTCTGCTGTAGGGTGAATAGCGGAGTTTGGTAGAGCCATCAATCCATTCCTCGAACTCATCGTATTCCTTAATTGCCTGATAGTGAAAATACATTGAGAACAAGGTTGGCTGGCTATTATTGAATATTTTTATGAAATGGAGACCAATACTTAAAAAAAAAAGATCAGGGTTTTGAAAACGAAAAGGGTATCTATTTTTGTAGTTTGATAGACATTAAGAGATCTGATTTGCTTTGCCCTGTTGTTGTTGTTGTTGTTGTTGTTGTTGTTGTTTCTGTCTCCTGTTAACCTTACTCGGGTATCAGCTTGTTCTTTCACTTAAATTTTGTCTTTTTTTTTTAAAGTGTAATTTTATATTGAAATCATTTTCTGTCGGATCAGAAACATATAGGTCCGTCAGGCGTACACGCACAGTAAATCGCTCATCATATTGTTCGCATTTCTAATTCCCATTATTCCCCGCACCCCTTACTAAGCATGCGCAAACTCAAAAATGCCTTATGCTGGGTCTTCCCAACATAAGTTAATTCAGTATCAGTTGTTAAACTTTATTTTCCCATCCTTAATGGTCCAATTGCTCCAAAAGCAGCCATTTATATATGACTGACCTGTAGAATTCCCGCCTGAGCCTCAGGATCATGAATAGATCTCTCCCTACTATCAATGCCCCTTTCATGTCCCACAAGGTAGTGATAAGCGAGCCCAGGCACCGGATAGTGTAGGGCTGCCTCAGGATACCATAAAGAGGACCTGGCGAAAAAGGACAAGAAGATTTAAGACTCAACAATGATACTTTACTCATGACCTTCAAAGACATGCTTTACGTTGAAGATCGCGTAGCTTTCGATCGAGTTTCGCACAACCATAACAACAGTAACCAAAACAGTTAAATAGATCAAAAGCCAAAACCCACAAGAGTGCGGTAAAACACGGGGGGAGATTGGTTTTTAGATTTGTAACTGATTGGCGTATGAGATTGCTACGTCAATGGTTTATAAACGAACCACAGGGCAAGAAAAAAAAACAGAAGCGAAGAAATCCTGAATTGATTTGTACAGGCATAGACTTTCAAAACCCGTTTTTACTTATACAAATAAGTAAGATTGTGAGAATACAAAAGGAGAACAAACATATTCTAATTTCTGCTGAGTGTCGAAAAACCGAAACCAAAGTAATTTCAACCACCAATCGGAACAAAGATCAACGATCAATGACAAAGTAGAAACAGGCAACCTCCTTAAAGCGCGGGAAAAAGTGGCTGACCAAGTTGGGATTGGTTTTAGTTTTGCATTTGATTGGCTTAGGGAGTGGCGCCAGTTTTCTCGATGAATCATAAAGCGAAGTGAAGCAAAACCAAAGCGATTCAGGATCACTTTCGACACCCACTAGAAAACAGCTCTAATTTCCAAATCGTACTCGAGACTAATGGCCTTGGTAGTCAATAACTAAATTAACAGCGAGTTTCGGTTTCCTTTCATTAAGATTTCGCCTGGCTCAGCCGGTTGCCGAAATAATTAAACCTTTTAACCAACAATTGAAAACGTGCGAGTTTTGTCGCGTTATTGTTAGCTGCTATTTAAAATACCAGCCCATCAGACGGAAAAGATGTAGTAAAAAAGTGTTTGAAATTCTTACGTCAACTTCAGTCTCTTCTGGGGGATATGGCATAAATTTCCATTAACATTTCCCATCTGGGCGGCAAATCTAAATGGACAAGAAATAACAAATTTCTGTTTTAAGAACAGTTGTAATAGGGTTACGCTCTAAACTTACATTCGAGTTTTCAAGTAAGTTACTTTATCTTGATTTGAAATGCTGATCCAGGATATTATTTGGGTTGTTGCAGTGTATTCAGGCGGAAAATGGATTTGAGAATTAATCATTCATTGACTGAGTGTGTGAATCAATTATGCACTAAAGGACATTTATTGATTTAAAGGTCAGCACAGCTTGTTTTCAAGGCGTGTTCCCTTGTAACGCCTCAGGAATTTATCAAATATTCTGCTTACCGATCGTTTTGTAAATAAATCTGTTAAAATTCGTGATCATATATTGGCCTTCTTGCGAAATCATGTTTACCTATTGCCCATGCTGATCACGATTTTTAAAATGATCATTTGAAAGACCACCTACGGAGAAATTCAAGCACGTATTTCCTCGGGAAAAGCAGGCGAATTAAGCAATAACATATTAACTAGCCCCAGCCCAAATATATGTGATAGTACAAAAACGATACTGCATCTCTGTTTCCGATAAATTTTACATTTTACACCTCGCGAGAAATCGCGATTCCCTTCCAAATAACCGAGAATATAGCAAAATTAAATCACAGATAAAACGCTGGGGAAAAAAAATCAATGCCATTGATTGAAAGAAGTACCAATGAAAAAAATAAAATGCGCGTGAAAAGCTAGATTTGGGTGAAAATGAAGAAAGTATTTTGAGCTATAATAAAATAAACGATGCCATGAAACAGAAATATACCATTTATATTTTTGATATTTTAAGTACTCGTGGACGTTACATGAACTTTAAATTTTATCTTATATTTCCAACATACGTGCGTTTAGATAGAAAAAGTATTTATAGCTTTTATAAGTTTGAATCACAGTGAATAAATGACAACCCTGTCATATTTATATCAAGACAGTTAAGCGGAAGAGTTTCCTTACCCTTCTGTTGTTACAATGGAAGCCAGCGCGCGGTTGAATTTCGCCAAAATCTCTCCGTCTCCTATTCGGATCGTGTCTGTTACAAAATGAATGAAACAAGAATTTAAAACCAGCAATATTTTGTAAAGAGAGGGAGGAAACATTTTGCGATTAGCGGAAGAAATAGAAGAACTTTTTATGAAATACTCTCATGAATAAAAACAAAATTTAAGCGGGAAGGTTCTCTGCGCCAAAAGAGATAAAAATTAGCAAGTTGGAGACCTCAGCTTTGAAATTTATGTTAGAAATATCTCAGTATTGCTCGCAATCTACTAGAAAATAGACTTTTTCATGAGTGATTATTTCACGTCGTGAAAATTAACTTTTCTTCATTATCATTAATTGTAGAAAGACGACGCGAGTTAGAATCGGAAAAATAAAGACACTGAATATACATTTTTTTCTTTGTAAGAAACATCTAAAAAATTGGATACCTAAAGCCTAAACTGAAACAGGAATGTACTTACGAGAGCGAAATTTCTTTCCCTCGTTTTCTTCAGCTCTGAGAGACTCAAAACTCATTACGTTCACACACTCCTTTGGATTTCTTTCCTACTTCTTGGCAGTTCCTCCTAAAAAACAAAAGCAAATAAAGTAATTTAAGGATACATAACTGGCGAGGACGAAAATTCAAACATTTCAAAGGTGCTAAAATTTTCGAAGTGTTAAAGTGATTGTTTTCGTTTTTTGGCGAGGACTTAATTCCAGAATGCCTCAGTTTTTAAAAAGATCAAACTGAAATAGTAATTTCTGTGTCATCAAGAATTTGCTCTTCGTAAAGCATTTTTCCGACCGGCTGTTTTTCCGCGTAGGTTTAAGTAAGTTTTTGATTATAAATTACGATGTTTCAAAAAATTCCAGTTGGAGTTAAATCTACAATACTGTTATGTTAACAATATATTATAATGGCATAACCCGTTAACGCAAATTTAACTGTACTCTTTATTAGAAACTTTTATCCGGAAGCAAATCAAAAGTGATTTAGGGGGGAAAGTATTTTGAAAGATGATTCCACCGTGTTATGTCGGTTTGCAAAGACTCTTCTCTCTAAAAATGAAAGGGAAAAACAGAACCGATGTCCAAGTTTGATTACCAGCGTGAAAATACGGACATATTGAGGGTAACCGTATCACTAAAACGTCCTACAATTATGTGTCATGATTCAAACATAGAATGACCCGTAAAAAGTACAAAAAAAGAAAACACATCATTAATATCCCATCACATCAAAATGAAAAAGCCATTAAACTGTAAAACTTGCCCGCCGAAGAATCTCCAATCTCGCAGTGAATAGCATTTGGTTTTTTTTCGCCAGGAAGTTTCTCAGCTGCTGGGTTGAGAATCTTCCACGCCGATTTTTTGATGGCTTAAAAACCAGCTCGTTTGTTGACTTGTAAAGTTAATTCTACCCATAATCTAATCCTACTGCAGTTCCGGTACTGTAAAGGGATCAACAGAGCTTTTTCTTATGCAGAAGGCAGCTTTAATTTGTGTTTCTCGCGGTTTTTCACTGATTGAAAACAAAAGGCAAACGAAAGTAAATGAGTCCGTTGGATATGCATTTTGGTTGGCAAGAACAGTGTATGGTCCCAGAAAAACGGATGGGCTGGCTTTGAATAAGAGACAGAATTAAAAAAAAATATTTTCCATCAAAATAATTTTGGGGTTTAAAATAAGAATGGATGATAAACTGTAAATCCAGCTTACTAATTTTCAAGTTGCTCATTTTTTAAACACGAAAATAAAGGGAAACTCTCTCTTTTTTTTTTTTTTATTATGTCGGCGTTTTCAAAGTCTCTTCCTCGAAAGCATTCTACTTTGATTTATCCGGTACTTGACTCTAGATGAGCAGAAAAAGATAAAAAAAGAGAAAAAAACATTTCACTTCACTCCAATCAAAGCCGGTGGTAGATTTGTAAAGTGTAAGTTTGAGCGACAACCTTCGAAGCTGGTGCATGTTCGCTTTCATAAGCTCCAGAGCAACACTGTGCCTGTCCGCGCCAAACAACGAGAACCTCTTGAGAGAAGCTGAAGAGTTCTAGGCGCAATTATTTGTTAATGAGAAAAAAGTTTTCCCTGAAAGTCAGATGCTTTCAAAGGAAATCAAACGTATTTCCCGATGGGAATACAAATGCGGAAAGTGAAAGAAAAGGAACGATAAATAAACCCGACGTTATTGAGTCATAAAATGACTTCACTGTTAATTCTACACATTTTCTGGATAAATCACTTAACGACAATTTTGAACTCAGCGGGATTCAAATTTTCGCTGCGTGAAATGTATAAAGGAAATCACGCGCGCAGCCAAGCTTATGGAGACTTTTTTTTTCGCCTTGAGATGTAATTTTGCCCGCACGTCATGTGTCCAGACTGAATTCAATGCTACCTCCGAAAGATCAAACTTCATGAAGGATTCGGTCAACTGCGTACCTTTGGGGTGTGAAGCGATTACCAAATTAGGTCGTTTTGTGACAGTCTTTAAAATATACGAACAAGGCAGGTCTTTAGTACTTACCTCTAAGTTTCCAGATCTAAAATTATCGGCTTGAGTGTTTGCGTTTTAGCTGAGAAAGATATTATGAGCGCAGCCGATGTTACACGTTTCTCGGATGGCTGCGAATTGGCAAGATTTTAAAGTGTCTACCCGTCAATTCTGCGCAGTTGAGTGTGTTTCACAATGATGAGAATTTCAATGCTGTCGCCATATGGGCCCGCGATACACCTGCTCCCTGTCTAAACATCGAACAATTGTGGGATAGAGTCAAATCACGTGACACGCGTCCAAAATTCGAAAAATGACAAATTTAATATTTACCGAGATGTTGGTCTAGATAAATAATGATACAAGCGACGTATTGGCCTTTAATAAGCTCATCTCTTGGAGCTGATGTGTTTACGGATGAGCAGGATCCCGCTCGCGGGGTAAAATCTATGCGTTCTGCGTTTTTTTGAAATCGATAAGTTTTCCGAGCGCTCGACGAAAACGAGGGCACCGGCTGTGGGCGAGAAAGGGGAAAAAAAACCGAACAACTCGCATGAAATCGTTAACAAGCTCCGAGTGGACAAATGGGAAATCAATTACTAGCTGAGAACCCAACAGATGCAAGATTTCACGAACACAAAAGCAGTAATGGTCCGTAATAGCCATTTAATCACACACTATTTACAGGCCAGTTTATTAATTCAGTCAGCGATACAAAAGAACTGTAGCGAAAGGCTTTTCACTGCGCTGATTTTCACGGGTTGTTTTTTTGGACCTAAAATAACCATTGCTAAACGAACCTGGAAAAAATACCCGCCGTAATGAAAAAGAAAAAACAAAACAAAACAAAATAAATTTCTGTCGAATTTTCACGCACTGGGTTGTTCGGTTGGAGAGAAAGAAAAAAAAAATAAAAAGTTAGCGTATATTTTATGCAAAGCTTTCGCAGTGTGGAAGTCTCGTGGCAATTGCTCATCTTCCCTGATAAGGCGCGCGTGTCAACAATTCGAAACATCTTAAAGATAGGAGAAAGTCTTAAAAGGGTATTTTGTTATTGTTTGACCTCAGACTAAATTTTGAGTATCCTTTTTAATGATTCATACTTAGAAGGAAGGAAATCGTATCTTCTAAATAAAACCATGCAGATACGCTTCGAATGACAGCGGGTTTTGTTTCAATTTCGTGTTGGTTTAACTGTTAAACGTAGAGGTCGCATAAATTTCTTGGCTTCGAATGGAAAGCTGGCTGAACCTCGAGGCATGAAAGTAATTGAAGTCGCTACGTTACAACCGATTTTTCATGGCGGAACATTTTTATCAAGCCATGGAAAAATTAATTACGATGTGAGATAAGAGGTGCTTTTCAGATAACATTATGGCTCCCGTAGCCCAGTTCCGTAACGGGTTTTGTGTTGAATACATGATTTTGATAACGTCATTTTTTTTTTTAATCTTTCAAATGAAATGACTGGTTATGCATATTTCGTTTCATTACGGGGAAGAGATTAGCACTTCGACACCTTTGTAATTCTCACCGATCAAACTTTCGCTGTCAGTATTTTGATATTTCTTAATAGAACTGTCTTGACCTCGAAGGTTGCAATGATTCCTAATATGCAAAATCCTTCAACCTCTTCGCTTAAACAATATGTATATTTAATTAAAACCCGCCATTCTGTAGCCATAGTCTTTCATATGCTGTATCTAAATCCGGCGGAATAATATGCCTGGCGACATAGAATAATCATGTTGTAGTTTTTTAATCATAAATCAACGTGTCCCAAAAACAGAAAAATTAAAACTCTCTGACATGATTTTAAAAATAATTGACATTTTGGAAGAAGCAAATCTTTATGTGAAGGGATTACACTTGAAATCCCACTGTTTAAGATCGTCCAAAGTGCAATCGGTAAATCAAAATGCTAGACACGGCAGAGTTATCATAAACTTTGAAATATTTTAAAATAATTCAAACAGCCCCTTTCAAAGAGGTTATACCGATCGCTCTAATACAGAATTTTAAGGGATGAGGTTGAAAGCGAGATTTCGCTCTGAAGGACGAATGCATTTTTCTTTATGTTGATTATCACAGCATTAACAAAGTAAATAACGAAAGCATTTTCGCTGACATGAAAAACGGTCCCATTCATTAAAATACTTCGTGGACAATTTCTGAAGCAAACGTAATCGAGATTTTGTACGTGAGCAAGAAGGGAAACAACATCAAACGCACCAAAGTGGGTTGTTTTGAATTCTGCTTAAATCATTGTTTAAAACATTTAAAAGGAAACTCCCATTTTGCATATAAGAGAAACGTAGTTAGAGCACCAATTAACACCTCAATATAGCTTTTTGTGAAGGACCAGGTAGCTTTTAAAAGGGTACCTCTTAAATGCCACCGCATTTTAAAATTCATCGAATTAGACAAAAACGTCCGTATAGAAACACTATGTCGCACGCTTCAAAGTTCAATAAATTCCACTTGTATCATAATACTTGTACTTAAGCGCATGCATGTTTATGGAAAGAACATTTTTTATTTTAAATTCAGGGCGTTATCTAATATTACAAAAGACTGAAAAACGGCTTAACTGTGAAAAGCAAAAGATTTTCTTTTGCTGTTAATCAGAAATAGCTTTATTGCTAACCAAGTGCGCCATGTAAAAGCCAGGCTTCATTTCGTGGACGGAATAAACCCGATAAAGTTTTAGAAACTTAAATATATTCATTTCAGTTAAGATTTTGGGTTTTGTGCAAACACTTCGCTTCGAGCGAATGATGATAAAATAGTCTGGTAAAAAAAAAAATCCGATGCATTATGATTTAAGCCCTGAAAATAGGAACACCGTGCAAAAGTAAATATCGGTAGCCATTGGGGTACATATCATTGCCTAACAACTAGCATGCTGCTAAATATTTATCTTGGGCATTTAAAAACTGATCCAAACTGAGTGTATATCCTGGGGAACAACTGATCAAGAAGACAGGCGAAATTTCTTTAATAATCAAAGATGAAATAGATTTACTCATATGAAGTCGGCCGCCTTTGAGTAATGCAAACTGAACTGCGCTTTTCAAAACAAAATTAAGTAGTTTTCTTCTGAAAAGTAGTTGAAGTATTTTAAGGACCTTATGAAATTTGGGACATTGTGTAATGGGAAACCCTTACTAGGTCTGGAAAAATTAAATACCGAATTTATCCGAATAAGCACCGTCCCCGGATAAGCGCCTTCCTCGAATAAACGCGGCGTTTGAAACAGGAAACTTAATTAGCGCCTCGGTCCCGGTGCAGCGCCTATTCACAAGCTTTCACAAACTGCAATGCTTCATATGGAGTTAGATATCTTGAGGGAATTCACGGACAATTTATGTCCAAGGAATGAGGGCAATATGGTGGATAGTCTTTCGGACAAGCTTTGGGACCGGAGCAGGGAGGAACTTTGATAAATTTACGGAAAAGGAGACACCCATCCCCCTGACCCCGGAGTTTATTTGTAGACAGTCGAACGTGTATTAGCGGCACCGTATAAGACGTCACCTTGTATTTAGCGGTCGGGGGTCAAAGTCCTGGTCACCCATCACTGGGTTCCAACGGCCCTACTTGCATTGCCTTTAATCCCTTTTGAACAGTCACTTAAAATAGAAATACTCATATAAAACTAAGAATAACTTTTCAAGTAATTTTCATTCCATCTTTCTCTCCCAAAATCAGAATAAGTAGTATTTTTGAGCGAAATTCTGTACATTAGGTTGTCAATTATGGCATAAAGTAGTGTCGTGTATCGTTTACCCCCAGGAACCCTGCTGTACCCCTAAATTGTGGAACTTGTGGTGGCCATTCGCCGTAGGTAACCGCTTAATCGGAGTTCTACCGAAGTAAAAGTAGGAGTAGAGATTCAACGATCAGCCTTCACACTTTTAATGATATTTGCTATATAAACCTCGAGGTTTCCCAAGAACAAAGTTTATTTCTAATTTTTACAATCATGTACTAATAGTAGTGCAAGCCATGACAAAGCAAAACTGATCTTTAGTATCTTCCCTTAAAACTAAACTTTTCATCTTCACCATATCATATTATGATTTCTTTGAAAAGCTTTGATTAAAATGTTACACACTCGGCTTAGTTTTCTTGGCAATTAGTTTTAAGGTGTCCAAATTTCTCTCTCACTCTTAACTTAAGAGTTATTCTGATATTATGCCAATTCAAGTTATTTTTAAAGTAATGGAACTTGCATCTTCGATCGTTGTTATAAGTTCAAATTGCCCGTTGCGCATGCTTTGAATTTACAACGACGGGATGTGCTTCAAAATTTTCTCGTGTGTTGGTCCTAGTTCAATTGTCTCGTAGTAAATATTGATCTGTGGATAAATCTAACAAAGCTTTATCTTAGTTCAAACCACCTTTGGTAACAAAAGATCAGTATACATGTTTTTATGCATCCACTACTTACAATATAACAATAAATCGCATTACTCGAACGTTTTAGAAACAACAGTATCACTCCCGGCGATGATAGTTCCATGATAGGTGGTTCTTTTGGTGAGGGCCAATTCTCGGTACGTGCTTGGAAGAGGAACGAAATCTGAACTTGCTTTAGGAAAAAAAAAATTTTAAAAAGATTTCTTCAACATTACAACGTGTTTTCATCGGTAACAGCTCGAGATTTTGATAAATTCATGCTTTCCACTGGCAAAGAGTAATTCAGCTCAATAAAAGTTGACTGTAACAGAGGTAGTTTTCGCTCGGCAACGCTCTGTGTATGAAAATAACACAACGGCTATTTTAGCGTTGTTTGTTTAGGAATACAGGTGGGCAAATACTCAGTGTCTTCAAGTTAATCACAAAGTTAATTTCAAAGAAATTTGTCTTTTTTTCCCCTGTTACCGTGCTCCGATTTCGTGGGAAATCTGTTTCAGGACTTTCGGAGTCCCTGTTTCTGTTTCCAAAATCTTTAGCATCACACTTTTGTATTTACATCAATAACTGAGCCGAAAACAATTTGAAACGACTTAATTTAGCATGTATGTTAAAGAGTTATGTTTATGATATTGAGTTTCATTTTGTCAGCAGTTCCTTTCTTTACTTGAGTTGAAACGAATGAAGTTCACAAACTGCTTTGACTTAAAAACAAGCCATCAAGAGTGATCCATATGAAAACCAGCAAGAACCATTTTACAACAAAAACCCATTTAGAAACTCCGATTTGTTCTCAAACACACGTGCTCCTCGCGTAATTTATCATTTCGCAACCAATCAAAAAACGCTTTGTTTATCTAAAATGAAAAGAGACAAACTTAGGGAAACAAAGAGTTTGTGTCTCGAGGCCGACAATCAGCCCTATCACATTCAATTTTTCCTTCTGTTGTAGCAACCTGACCTTAATTATTAATTGTTTTAAAGAAGAAACAAAAATCGGTATTGAGAAAATTCTGATGTAGCAAATGCGTCGTTAGGGAAGCCTTTCTCTCGTTTGTTTGACAATCGCGTAAAAATTAGCGACAAAAAATCCCTCGGGGTGTATTTGCCATGTGCACAATTCGGTTGACATCAATTTTCTTCGTCGACTGGGAGACTACAAGCAAAGATTTCGTGAAAGGGATAAAGTTCACTTCGACGCAACGAGATATTAAAGTTCATTTGTTTTACAACAAGAAAACACCGAAAAATGAGCTTCCTGGAGATTCGGAATGGATTGTAAAGCATCCAACGCTTACATCTTCCGCCGAGGCGTCTTGGACGGCGCTTTTAACGTACGTGCTTCATTTTTACACGCACACAGCCTGCAACTGTACAAACAACCACTGTAGACTTTGGCCCAAGCGCCATGTTCATACAAAATACAGAGCTCATATCGTATGCGGAGACGAGGGTAGATACGAAGAATTGCAAGCCATTTTGAAATTCAATAAAATCCCTGTGAAAATAATCAACGTTGGCGAACGTACCCTTCTCGACTTGTTTCAATATTCTTGCAGCCACTGCAAAATTATTTTCAAAACTAAGAAAGAAGCTGAGACCCATGACCAGAGCAAGCACAATTTTCTGTGCACGAACGCGAAATGCGAAAAAAGCAAGCGAACAAACGGCTTCTTTGCAAAGAGGGAATTGGAAGAGCATCTTGCTCGCCAGCAGTGCTGCGAATTCTGCCCGGAGAAAATATTCTGCTCGCCCAAAAAACTAGAGGAACACATGGGGAAAACCCATAGGAAGTGCGACTGCAGCTGCGAGGAGTACTTCGAAACGAGGGATGGATATCTTGAGCATTTTTATAGTAATTTGCCTCTTCCGTGTCTCGAAGAGCCGGGTTGTTCCGAGCGGTTTCCGAACATTGAATTTCAAGCTTTCCACCACAAGTCTGTTCACGGGGCAACCTATCCTTACTATTGTATGGCTTGCTACAAAAAGAAGTACTTGGTCTGTCTCAAAACTGCCGAAGAATTATTGAACCACGTGGAGGATGAGAAACATAGCGACGAAGAGTTTTCTTTTGCGCAAATTCCTCTTCATATTGCATTGCAGTGAAAGAAAACTGATGTTTAGAAATTCAAGAAAATTGTGACAATAATTGAAGAAGAGATCGGAATGTCCTTTGGAACTTCGTTTTTAAGAAATTTTACTACTGTAATTACACAGACGAATTTTGCTTCAAGTTTGATTTTACAAAGGTCTTCGTTCAACTTTAATTAAGCAAGGAAAACCTATTTTTTTTTTTTGCAACTTTAAGGAGAGGGCCAATTGCTGGTTTTAGCTTTAATAGAAACGCAAAGTTCTACCCAGAGTTATTCTTCAATTGACCTATTCGATAACAATTCAGTTAAGTCTAAAATTGTCAGGCTGGTGAATTCAGTGATTACATATTAAAAAGTGCGCGTGTTCCTCCGACACAACTAGTTTTTAAATTGAAGTTTCTGCGAAATTTTACTTTTGCTATAAGAACTGGACAGAGGTCCATTATTTTAAAATGTCTTCAGGTAAATGTTCTCTCTGGAGCTCTTTCAAATTCTGAACTTATTTAAACCGCATTTTTCCCGGGGTAATTGACTATAAAATGTGATGTAGATTGATTTCAGTGGAAACTGAACAATTCGTCATTAACTCCAACAGAACAAACGGCATACTTTTGTTGGTTTTCGACTTGTTAAGCAGTCACAAACGGTACGACGGAGCTAAGCTGCACTAAAGAAGTCAAAGATCAAAAGTACTCCAAGTTAAGAAACCCGAGTCTTTGTTTCCAGATTACAAATTAAGCCATCACAAGAGTAATGAGTTTACTTAGGCAGAATGCCACGGCCACACGTTTGCGTTACGTGATACCTTGTATAACTTTGAAAGTTCGGTTTTCTGAGCCAGCTGGAGTAATTCTCATGCCATTTAGCCGGCCAATTATGTAGCTAAAACGTAAAAGAGCAATGTATTCTTATCGCGTTTTCTTGCAACTTTGCCGGTACATTAATTCTTAACTGAACTAAAAAACTTACTTCACAAAGTTCTCCCTCCATGGAACGCGCTGGAACGCACATGGAACGCGCTGGATATCTATGTTCTCTTTTAAAAAGCAGTTCTTTCTAAATTTCGAAAGCGTTCTCTTGTATTTGTAGAGGTGTGTAAGTAAGTGTAAATAGCATTCATGCTTAATCCACCTGTTTAACTAAGTAATTCATGTCTTCAGGCGTTTTAAGTATTCAACGGATAATTTGAAATTTACCTTTTTGATATGTTTGAAGTTTTAAGTCTGGAGTTGTAAGATTGCATGAGACCAGGTTATTCAGAAGAAAATAGCGATTAAATTACCTTTGATTTTCATATTGGTACATTTTAAATGGTTTCAAAGTTTCCAATATATATGTTCTTCAGTTGTATAAAAATATATCGAGCTGACTGTTTTTGAATTGCTGAGATATTTGTTTTTTTTCATCAATGCAAATATTTGAGAGGAAAAAAAAATACATCTCCGAAATTTATGATTTTAAGAATTTCTGTGAGACCTATATTTCATTTTAATTGCGCTTTAATTCCAAAAGGACAGTAAAATATTCTTTTCTTGTTTGGTTTGACGCCCAAAGCTCGAGGTAAACTCTAAAAATCAATTCGATCTCGTGTAACTTTATTTTGTGTAACGTGTAACATTTGTAGTTGATTACTTGACTTCAAGTAAGCCAATTTTGAAGCTAAGAAGTTGTATTATTGTCATGAGCTCGGTAGCTCTTACGAGGAGCTAACGCTCGAAACGTCAGTTTTGGAAATTCTTTACAGTGGGCAATATACAGCAGCAACTCAGCAGATAAAACCAAATTATTTTGATCTCTTCCCCACTGACGCAGCACCACGGTTTATATAGAAGCTTACCTCTTTTATTCATTATGTATTAATTTATATTATTAAAAACTGGATCATTGGATAATGTAAATCAAGACTTTTTATTGGCTTAGCCATTATGGTATAGGAGCCAATATACCATAACTAATATCTGTACATTGTAACATCCGGTTTCTACTTACGAAATAAAGTCGAGAAGATTTGTCTAACATCTTGGGGGCGTTTTTTTTTTAATAAAACAATTATTCCACGAGCGCTTGTTGGATATGGGATGATTATAGCCAACTCGGCGCTAAGCGCCTAGTTGGCTATCTATCATCTCATATCCAACGCACGCTCGTGGAATAATCGTTAAGTATAATATTTTAGGGGTTAAGAACCACGACAGAAGAAGAAAGGAAATAAGTCAGAGATGAAGCAGAACATTTTCCCTGGCACTTGTTTTGTGTTGGGATATCTTTGATGAGTTTTAGGACTCAAGACGAAAGGGTAAATTTGCTATTAAATCAGTCGCTTCTATCGGGTTTGTCTGTTTGCCTGGCAAAGTTGGCCAGATAGCTCTGTCGACTCATACTAGAACCAAATAATTTTAAACATCTTTCTTTATTCAAACGATCGACCTGAAATTTCCAGCTTAACATCTTTCTTACTGCTATCAGGACGCCTTGGACCATGTGCGACCCATAACAGAAGTTTTGTCGCGTAGGACTGAACCGATGCCGGTGAGAAGACTGAGGACGCGTCAAATCGTTGTTTTTGGTTAGCGCAGTTCGCCATCAGCATATGCCCACGCGACCTATTACGATCGCCTTTTTTTATCTTACTGGCGGAGAAAGCTCTGGAAACGACAATGTCGTAATGATAGTCCATGGTTAGGTTGTTAAAAGGCGGGTTAAAGATAACCCACAGTTAGTGTGAAATTTGATTTCAGATCTGAAAGCTTTAAAAAGAAATTCAGTTGAATTCTATGTATCTACCGCACCACTGCGGAAAAAGAAACACTGCAAAAGTCGAAAAAAGTCAATGAAAGAGCGTTGAGATATGTCTATGATTACTGATCCCCATGAAATTCTATTGTTCTTTCTCTGCATTAAATCAACGATTGTAGTCTTTAAGATGACAAAACAACTGTATGAGGAAAACGGAGGCGGTCCTCTTTGTTAGCAGGGAAATTATCAGGGGTAATATAATTAAACGCGCTAAATAAACATGCTGCAATCTTAAAAATATTGCAGTGTCCAGGCTGCAATATTAAAAATATTGCAGTGTGCAGGTTACAATTATTAAAAATATTGCAGCTTGTTTTAGGAAATTTAATGTATAAAGCGCACCAAAACTGATAGCTTACCACATTGTCAACATTACCGTTTGCGTTTAACTCTCGTTCATTGCAACTTAACTTTTTGTTTCGAAGTGCCACTTTAATCAACTAAAACTTTCAAACACTGAAAATAAATACAATCAAGGAGACTGATAGTATGGAGCACAATTTACTGCATTTAAGAAGTATTATATTCATCAGTTTATTTATAGGAAATAACAATTCTAGCGGAATTAGTGCTAACAACTACTGACTGATTACTACCCTCTTGATCACATTTTTCCGGACTTACTACTTTAACCTCTCGTGCAGTACAATTTTCCCCGTAGAGCTCTGTGTAATAAGTAATCCTTCGTCTTCCGACGAATCCATCCTCATTCTAAACCCGCGTTCGCACTGAGTAAAATGAT